TAAATTAAATAAATTTTATTTCTTTATAAAAAATTCAATTTTTAAATATAATAATAATTATCAAATATATATAAAAAAACAAAATTATATTAAACATAATCTTATAATACTATTTTAAATTTGATATATCTAAAAAATCAAAAAAGGAGGTTTGGACTTCAAAACTTGGTCATTGAACTAGAAGGCCAGGAGCCTTATTTGTCGACGTAGTTTCCCCTCATCCAAACAGTCCAACTTTTGTGACAGCCCCTTATTTGTCAGTTCTGTGCCCTTTGAATTACAAAATTTCAGACAATTCGTTTTTACAAATAATGTAAGACCGGATCAAGAAGGCAACTAATTAAGTTGCATGGAACATCCATGCACCACCAATAAGTTAGCCGCCGGCTCAGTTAGTAAAGCTGTGGTTTTAAATTTTAAATTTTGATTTTTATAAATTTTATAATTAGTAGAATTTAAAATTTTAAAAATTATTTAAATTAAGTTTTAACATAAGTAAAAATATTTATTTATTTAATAGTATTAAAATTATTTTTATTTTATTTATCTAATAATTACAATAATATATTACAAAAATACAAATAAATAAGTTTTTATTTAAAATTACAAATTAAAATCTATAAAATTGAAAATTAAAAATTACAATTATATTAAGTCAAGCCTTATTATTAATAATGCTCTTTTTGAGTTGTACATACGTTTCCAATACTATAACTATAAGCCAATAAATAATGCCATACTTGGCCATGGAACCACACTCTAGGAAAGAAAAAGTGGAGCTTATTTCTAAGTTCTTTACATATCCTACAACTTTTAATTTTGTGTTATATAATGAAATATAATTATTTTTTATTTTTTAAATTACTTTATTTATATATCATATGACTTGAATTCAAAATTTTTTACTTAAATTAAAACTAAGTTGCATGGACTGCATCGACCCATAGGACGGTTTTCGAAAACCAAATTGTTCCTGGTGGTCCAGATAGTCCGAACCAAGAAGTACCAAATAGCAGTCCACTCCATTCAGTTATTTGCTCTGGAAAGCAAGTCTTCGTGATGTTCAAAGGATTCCCAAATAGCTAGCTA